AAGTACGAGCCACAGATCCGCTTGAAGTTTCGGGCCCGTGCACAAACAGTCATTTAGAGAATTTCCCGTAGATGTTGGAAATGAGGCGTTGAAGACGACGCGCAGCTTGGCCGAAGGGTCGTGGCGCTTCACCACGGCGTGATGCGGCAGGTAATAGGCGTTGGTCTTCTTCTCTAAATCCATGACGGGCTCCATGTGGTCGAGGTCGAGGTATTCCCCCATAAAGGCCCGATAACCCTCCGCCAGTTGGGAGTTGGAGGCCAATCGACGCTCGCAGCTCAACAGGAATTTTAAAGCCATAGCTCGCGTCGACGTCAAAGCGCTGCTGGGATCCTGCTTGAAAGGTAAGCGTACGCAGTACCGACCGCTTTCATCTCGGGAGTGCGTGTCCTTGAAATGGCGTTCGCAATTCTCCTCCTCGGGCGACAAGGGCGATCGATTGGGAAGTTCCTCCACCTCCCAAAATCGTTGGAGTAGTTGTTCCGTGGTGTCGTCGCAATGACAATGATACGTCCGAGCGACAGAACCAATCCCAGCCTGGCGTCTGGAGGTGGGACCTAGTAAAACCCAACCGAAAGGCGTTAATTTTCCCACTGGGGTACCTGGCTGTCCGCTTCGAGTTTGGTCCAGGAAGAGAGCTCCACAAACGTCCGCGCCGAGTATAAGATCCACTCGGGAAGGTGTACCGAAACCGGGATCAGCCAGTGTAACGCCGCGTAGATGATGCCAATTTTTGTTGTCCATCTGCTGGGACGGTATCAGCGAGGTCAGACGCTGGAGCACCAGGGCGCGGACGGGAAGTGTGAAGTCCTTTTGTAGCTTGGAGCGCACCGAAAATTGAACCTCACTGGTTGCTGCGCCGGCTTCCCTATCCTGCACCCCCGAGATGGCCACTTGAACCGCCCGCCGTGGCAAGCGTAGAGTTTGTACGACCCATTGGCTTACGAGGGACGTGTCGGAGCCGATTTAAACTTTATTTGAAATTTATTTGGATCAAGTCAAATTTCCGCGCTCAGGGCAAAGATTTCCTCTTTATGTACTTCAGTGCCCTATGCTGTGAAAACCGCAAGTCCACGCGAGATCCGAAAATCCGAAATTTCGAGAAATTCGGAAAACCGCGGGATCGCGCGGTTCGCGAGGTCGCGAGATGTCACTAGATCGCAGCATCCGCAATCCCGCGTACTCGCGCGATCGCATTAAATTTATTTAAATTATCCCTTAATTAAATTTATTAAATTTAAAATTTATTTAAATTTATTTGAAATTTATTTGGGTCAAGTTAAATTTCCGCGCTCAGGGCAAAGATTTCCTCTTTATGTACTTCAGTGCCCTTTGCGGTGAAAACCGCAAGTCCACGCGAGTTCCGAAAATCCGAAAATTCGAAAAATTCGGAAAACCGCGGGATCGCGCCGTCTGAGGAACTGGCTTTTGAGAAGTCACGTCAAAAATTGAAATTCGCAATTTAATGATAACTTCGAAGATCGTAGGTTGAAGCCGCATATATTGCTGGATTAATTGAAGTGCTGGCTACTCCATATCGCTGTGAATTTCCGTTTCCTGCGTTATAGGTGTCGAAAAATCATAAGGAAGGGTTTCGAAGGAGCAGATTTCAATGATTGCTCTGCCTTCTTCGCGGTGAACCTCACGAGAGTTTCCCCTGGTCTCGCGTCCACCTCTGCGATTTATCGAGAGTCGCGCAATCACGGCGTGTGCGTGGTTTCATCGCTTGAAAGTTGAATTCGAAAAAACTAAAATTTTAAAATTTTAAATTTAAAATTTGGTGAAAATTTATAGATTTAACATTTAATTTAACTTTAAAATTTAAAAATTCAGAGTTGGCGATTTGCGTGTATTGGCCGACTAATCGGTACTGCAGCCACTTATTTTGATTGTGGTCGCCATTTTCTACCTTTAGTACAAACTTTACGAAGAGAAAAGAGAGAAGGGACCCGAGCGAGCGTTTTCGATGGCTCCATACAGCTTCGTCCCGGCGACTGAAACTTGGAGGTTTGAGATTTGAAGCTTGAATTGAATTTTCATGCAAATATAGGATAAATATCAGTATATGTATATATGTGTATTATGTGTCGTGCATTATGTACTATGCCTTATGTATTATGTGTGTGTTATGGTCGCTGTAGCTCGAGAAATGTGGCAAATCTCCGCTAATTTTGTAATATTATCTACGAAGGTTTGCACAGTGAAGTTCTGCAACAACCCTTTCGCTTCCGTTTGCTTTCCTTGTCCACCGCTGTGTTAGCCCGAGTCTGCTTCCGTACGCCGCCGCTTGGTGTCGCTTACTGTTCCCTACTGTATTCACGTTGTCACTGTTGGCGGTGAGTTTCCCTTCTCTCTCTCCCTGCTTGCCACTCCACTTTCCCTTTCGACTGCGCCTAATTTCTTTCTACCTGTGTCCTGTGTCAGGGTTGAACCATTTTCTACCCACCAGCAAGTGCATTGCCGTTTTTTCGCCATTTTGTTCGTCTTCCGCGATCGCTCGTTGGTGAGTGCCTTAATTTATCTATCTAATTTTAGTTTATTGTTTGTATCTTGTTTATCCTGTCTTTTAATTGATCGCCCCTTTGCCTGGTTGATTTTTGATTAATTTGTATACTTTTAATTTTCTAGTTTGTTGGCGATCTGTTTCCAGTTTTGTTGCTGCTGTATTCCTCTTTTCCTCGTTGTTTCTATAGGTATTTATACTTAATTATTCTAAGTTTCCTTTATCCTGTGTTTAGTTTCTCAGTGTTGATGCTGCATTTGTATTTAGTCTGTGTTTTAATCTGCTTTTCTTTCTTCTAGTCTGGTCCTGCCCTGCTGGATTTCGCTTTTGTTGCGAATTGTTTTGCTGCTTTTTAATTTCTGAATCTGCCTGCGTACCTGCAATCCTTGCCACCTTCCTTTTCCCTTGTATTCACTTCTGCTTTCGGTCTCCCTGTGGCTCTTACTGTGGGTGAGTAAAGTTTAAAGTTTAGAGTTTAGTTCAGTTTCAATTTAATGTGATATTTAGTGGAAGACTGTTAATTAAGCATTGTTTGTTCCATTTCGCCTTATGTTACTCACTGTGCATGTGCATATGCCTGTGCTCTATCCTTTTTCCCCCTCTTGTCTTATCTTATGCCCTCACCTGCTTTGTTTTCTCAGCTTGCCGCCACTCACGCACCTCCTCTGTTAAATTGACTGGTGTTCTTCCTGTTCTAACTCCTACCTTACTTACTCTGTTTTCTTGTCTGTTTTCTTTTGTCCTATTATCCTTCCCAATCCTCTGCTCTTGCATGTTATTTCCCTTGCCGTGGTTTGCTCTGTCTTTAATTCTGTTTTAAGTTCTGGTTTTTGTTCTAGGTTACTTACTTCTGCTGTGACTCGCTTTGCTAGCTTTGTCTCAGCACCTTTGCTGCGCGCCTCAGGTTTTGCTTAATTTCCTGCCTTTCTGCCCAGCTGCCATTTCTATAGCTTGCTGCCTTGCTGTTTATTCGTCGTGTGTGCAATCATCTCGGCTGGCTCGTTTTCCCATTACATTGGTAAGTGTTTCACCTGTCATTTTCCTAACCTAGATTGTATTTTACCTACTTCCGTGCGCCATTTATGTCGCTCTTTTTAACTCTGGTTTTTTATATAGGTATACTTCTCCTGCAGTATGTCTTCTCCCGTGTCTGTTCTCCAATTGAACCTCAACAATTGCCGTCTCGCTCAGGATCTCCTTTGGCAGACCGCGGGCGAGCGTTGTGCGGATTTCGTTTGCATCTGTGAGCCGTATGAAATCCGGAGTGAGTGGCACGTGAGTTTGGATTCCCGATGCGCTATATGGTTCCGTCCTTATTCCTCTTCCGATTTTGGTGTCGTTCATTGTTCTGGACGCGGGGATGGTTTTGTCTTGGTGGAAACTCGTGATTTTTGCATAGGGTCGTGTTATCTTTCTCCGAATCTCTCCTCTTCTGCTCTTGACCATATTTTAGCTGCCTTGTCCTCCTATATTCTTCGCTCTCCCAAACCCTTCATACTTTGTGGTGATTTTAATGCCCGTTCTCCCACTTGGGGCTCCGAGTTCTTGGATTCCCGCGGTCGTCTTCTCGAACTACTTTTCTCTGAGTTAGGTGTTGGTCCCATCTGTAGCGATGGCGGTCCCTCGTTTCACCGTGGTGCCTATTCCTCTAGAATAGATTTTGCTGTTTGTTCCTTACCTTTATTATCTCGCTTAATTCGCTCTGATGTTCTTCCAGATTTTACCGGCTCTGATCACTCTTTCCTGTTGCATAATTTCTCGCTTTCCTCCCTTGCTCATGGTATACCTGGCTCATCTTCGTCTTCTTCCCCCTCAGATTTTCCCTGGTTACCCCGTTCAACTCCTGTTGACCTCGATATATGATTCGAAACTCTATCTTCGTCGACCTTTTGCACTCGCGATTTTTCTGACTCGTCACAATTCTTCTCACCGGCTGAGATTGACTTCGAGCTATCTTGTCTCCAATCTCTTTTTGACTCGTTGCGCCCCTCTCTCCCCTTGCGCCGTAAGAAGCGTCGCGACGCTCCTTGGTGGAATGAAGAATTGTCCATCCTGCGCCGTGAGACCCGAAAGGCGAGTGATCTATATCGCTATACTCTTTCTCGCGATTCTGCACTCGCCTCCGAGCTTGCCCTTCCTGCATATCTTCTGGCCCGTCGCACCTTCCGTTCTCTCTTGCGTCGTCGCAAAAACGAATGTTTCCAAGAGATGGTAGGCGAGGTTCGCTCCGATGTATGGGGTCGCCCGTACAAGTCTATGATGAAGAAGTTGCGAGGTAACCAGCCTCCGGTGTCCCTCAACCGCGAGGAGTTTCGATTGGCGATGCAAGCTTTATTTGTTTGCGTGCCGGATTCTTCCCCTTCAATGTCTGCTTCCTCTCTCTCCGTTTCTTCTTCAGTTCAATCTGTTTCCTCGCCTATTTTGTCTCCTTCCTTGCATCACAATTCATTTGTGAATCCAGATGGTTCTGATACACCTATTTGTCCTCTCACCGTGGCCTATTCTCTCGCTCGTATTGGTCCTAAAAAAGCTCCTGGACCCGATGGCATGTCCGGCGAAGTCATACGCGTTGTTGGCAGGGTTGCCCTCAGCTGGTTAACAAAGCTCTTCAACTCATGCTACTCCCACGGCTATTTTCCCTCTGCTTGGAAAAGTGGCCGTTTGGTACTGATTCCTAAGGCTAATAAGCCGTTTAACACTTTTGGTGACTTGCGCCCTTTGTGCATGTTGCCCCATTTGAGTAAGGGTTTCGAGTATTGTATCCGAGAACGTCTTCTAGAGGCAGTTCGTGTTTCAGGCGGTTTTTCTCCCCGTCAATTTGGTTTTCTGTCAGGCCGTTCCACCATGCAGGCGATGCGCGTGGTGACCTCTGAGTGGGATCGTGCTCGTTTTTCCAATTGTCACTGTCTTCTTGTGACTTTAGACGTAAAAAATGCCTTTAATACCCTAAAATGGGAAAATATACTCCGTGCTGCAGTGTCCCGGAGTTTTCCCCCTTCTCTGGTTCGTATTCTTGCTAGCTATTTGTCTAATCGGCAGGTTGGAACTTTTCTTTCTGACTGTAGTTGGATTGAGGTGCCAGTTTTTGCTGGTGTTCCCCAGGGCTCCGTTCTTGGCCCTCTCTTGTGGATTTTAGCGTATGATGGTGTATTGGATCTTATTCTTCCGGGTGGCGCCATTACTGTCGGTTTTGCCGACGATATGGCTCTCGTAATTGTTGCCCGTTCCTTGTCCCGCCTGCGTTCCCTTGCAGAGGAGTGTCTTCGCATTTTGGATAGCTGGTACACCTCTCAGGGCCTAGTTTTAGCCACCCATAAGACCGAGGCGATTCTTCTTACCGGTCGCCGTGTTCCTCGTGGAATATCCTTGATTCACGGCTCACATACTATTCAAACTTCTCCCTATGTACGTTATCTCGGTGTTCTCTTCGGGAACAGCCGCCTTTATCCCCAGCATGTTGATAAAGTTTGTACCAAGGCCTTGGCCGTCGCAAAACGCTTATCTTGTCTCCTTCCTAACTTACGCGGCTGTGGTTACACTGGTCGTATCCTGTATTACCGCGTTGTAGAATCTATAGTCCTTTATGCTGCTCCTGTTTGGTTTGAGGCTGTCGCCTTCACCCGCGTCCTATCTCGCCTGCATTCAACTCAGCGCGTTGGCCTCCTCCGAATTTGTCGCGCCTATCGCACCGTTTCCACCTCAGTTCTGTGTGTCCTGTCCGGTTGTACTCCTTGGGAGTTTCTTATTCATCTTCGCACTGCCTATTTCCACGTCGATCCTTTCGTTGATAGTTTAGATGTTCCTCGCACTGTCGATCTCCTCGCTCTCCGCGATTGGCAATCTTCCTGGAGCGCCTGCTCCAATGGTGATTGGACTCGTCGCCTTATCCCAGATTTAGGTTTCTGGATTACGTCCGGTGGTCCCCGTCTTTTGTCATTTCACCTTACTCAGGTTTTGACAGGTCATGGCTGTTTTGCCAGTTACCTTCATCGTATCAATCGTGTTTCGTCTCCCGCCTGCTGGTTTTGCCAGTCCGGGATTGAGGATGACGCTTATCATACCCTTTTTTCCTGCTCGTGCTGGGAGCCGGAGCGTTCAGCTTTGTATGCTGTTACCGGCCCTCTTACTCCCCTAAACTTCGTGTCCGTGCTACTTGGTGAAGCAAGTCACCGTAGCGCTATTCTTCGCTTTGTTAAACTTGTCATGATGATGAAGGAGGAAGTGGAACGCACCTTGGAGGGTGTTCCTTCCCGTTAGCGCTGTCATTGCCCATTAGTTGTTGTTGCACATTTGTTTGCGTTTTCCTTTGCCTGTCTGTCCGTCCGTGTGTGTCTATCGCACGTGCGCGGATGTGTTGGTCTTCTTGTCGTACATTGTCTGTCTTTCATCTAGTCGTTTCAGGCTTCGTTGCCTCTCTGTTGATTTTCCTCGTATGCATCCCACGCTTTGTTGTCCTGCCTCCTTTGCGCCTGCTGTTTGTTTGTCTTGGCTGAATGCGGTTTGTTCGCTTAGTTTAGCTCTTACCGTGCTTATTCGTCGCTCGTGCTCCGCCTTCCGCATCGCATTTCCAGGCCAGTATAAATTATTATTTATTTATTTCTTGCTTACCCCCGTATTATTCAGTGCTATATCTGTCCGTTTAGTGTACTAACCCAGGTTTTAATTTAACCTGTTTCAGCTTCCCTCGCTGGGCCGGCATCCTGCGCCTTGATCGCCTCATGTTAGGTTAAGTTAAGTAATCTTTTCACTTACTTGTTTGTTACGCCGGTTGTTCCGTTTACGTCCAATCTGACTAGCTTACCGCCTCTAACTTTATCTGTTGTTCCAGCTCAGCTACTACCTGCTACCTCTTCTTTTGGAGTTGGAATCCGACCTATTGCTCAGCCCTGTCTCGCCGCTCGCATCGTCTCTCAGTCGTCGTTGCTTGCCTTCTAGATTGGAGGGATGCCTGTTTTCCTGCAATCTGTCTGTGTCATCGTTACTCCACTTCCTAGTTTATGACCGTCAATCCCCATTTCCCTTTTCATGCTCTGTCTTGTTATTTATTGAATCATTTGCGCGCTCATGCTAAAACGTGCTCGCGTATTCCATTCATTTCTCATTCCTTAGCTGAACCAAACTACTTTCCTCTGTTCGTGTTTCCTCCGGCTTCTGTTTACGCTGCTTCCTTTACCGAGTTTAAGTTGATTTAATTTATTATAATAATAATAATAATTTAATTATATAATTATATGCTAAGCTTTTAAGTTTATGATAATTTACTATATTAAACTTGTTAGATTGGGCTTGTTAAATTGACTTAGTTCCTAATTGGTTGGTCTATCGTTTAATTGTTTGCGTTTTGCGTTTTGTTGTGTTTTGTGTTTTGATTTGCGAGTTTTATCAATTCAAGGGTCCCGTTGTATTTTCCCTAGGTGGGCCTACCTTTTGGTTGCCCCTCTGTCATGTAACTTTAACTTTAAATTAGGTTTAAATCTTAGTTTAAGTTTAGGTTAAGCTGAGTTCGTGTTTGAGTTTGATTTAGGTTAGGTTAGATTTCTTTCCTGTTTGATGTATCGTTTATGTTATTTGCTCGTTGCTCCCGCTTGGTTTGTCCTATCTCATGTTAGTGATTTGATTTGTTTGATTTGATTCGGTTTGAATTGAATTAGTTTTTAATTTACCTAATTTGACTTGCTGCTTGATTATTTATTGGCTTGTGCCACGTGTGGTTTGACTTGCTAACTCAATTAATTCAATTAGTTCAATTTATTCAATTTATTCAATCTAGTTTGCCTTAGCTAGTGCCAGCTTAATTGTCAATTAGTTAATCAGTTCCTTAACCAATTTGTCAATTAATCTACCACCCACCCGTTTGTCCTGATTAGATTCATTCGTCTAAGCAAGTGTTTCGGGTTCAGGCCAGTCCCAGGCCAGTTTAAGGCCAGTTTTAAGCCAGTTTTACTTGACATGAGAACTAGCCTTCCTGCGTTCGTAGCTATCTTTGCAATTTAGCGCAGAATGGTCGGCGTTAGGCTATTTACTTAGTTTAGGCCTTAAGCTTCCCGTCTAACGGCTGTCGCACATATTCATACATATATATATCTATATATATATATATATATATATATATACATATGCCATGTGTGTGTCAGAGTCGCTGCTTGTGTCATTGCTCGCATTTATTTAATTATTTAATTATTTACTTATTTAATTCGGTTCATTAAATCAAATTAAATTTCTTAACTTAATTAACTTAGTTAAGTTTGTCCTGTTTGCCTACCCCGCTTGTTCCTGCTTGCTCGTTTAAGATGGTGCGCGTAGTATATATCTTATACCTAACTTATTGAGTTGTTAAATTGTTAGCTTGTTAGATTTAGATTTGACTTGATTTTCTAATTTTCCTAATTTTAATCTTACCCATCCCGCTCATGCGTGGGCTCTTGCTCCCTAATTTGCGCATACTGTTGCTGAATTTGAATTTGTTTAGTTTGTTTAGCTAACCCTTAGGGTTATAGTTTATATTAGAGTTTCGTATTTTAGTTTAGATTTCGGAGGATTTTGGTGTGTGGGATAATGTTATATAATGTAATGCCTATAATATAATGACGCTGTATACTACAATGATGTGATGTTGTAGTGTTGTGATAGTGTGGTAATATTGCGACAGAGTTGTGCTTTAGTTAGGTGTTTTTTGTTACTGTTTGTTACTTGTGTTTCCTCCTGTTCCTCATTTTTATTGTTAGTTCATCAGCTCGTGTGCACGATTGGTATTTAATGCATTTAATGCATTAATGTTCCTTGTGAAAATAGATGCGTTTACCTATAGGTGTTGAATGTTTGGCGTTAAATATGAGCAGCTAAATAGCAGGTGGATAGTAGGTAAGTAGTAGGTAGTAGGTAAGTAATATATGCATATAATGCGAGTAACTATGAACGTATATGTATCACTGTGCTGTCGGATATACGTCTTGTTGTCATATTCATTGTGCTACATGTGTCATGTTACATAAGATATGTGAATATAAATAAGAATATAGATATAAACATAAATAAGAATAAGCGAATAAATATGTAGATATACAGCTATATAAATAGATATATATTGTTATATAAATAGGTATGAATATAAGTAAGAATATGAGAATAAAATTTGTGGGTATACAAGTATGTGAGTATATATAAATAAGAATATAAGTATAAATATAAGTAAGAATAAGTGAATACATGTGCAATATACAGCTATATAAATAGGTATATGTTGTTGTATAAATAGGTATGAATATAAGTAAGAATATGAGAATAAAAATAAAACTAAAACTATGTAGGTATACAAGTATGTGAGTATATGTTATTATTTAATTTTCCGCCGCTGCCTTTGATGTGTCCTGCTGTACGTTGTATTTCGGATCCTCCTCCTACCATGGCTCTTTACTCGTGCCTGGTTTAGCCCATCGCTCCATTTCCGCCACCTCCTTATCCTCCTTTCCCGCTTCCATCCTGGCCCCCGCGTCGTCTTTTCCGTCCTTCTTCGTTCTCCTATCTTCACCTTCAGGTTTCCTCCTTGGAAAATAGGGCCTTAGCTCCTGCCACTTGGTGCGTATTTCTTTTTCCTGCACCATCTCCTTGGCTGCTTCCCTAGTACAATCTAAATATGCGGTCCTGTGGCACGTGCCCTCCGGTCCCTTTATACACCTGATTCTAATGTCCCCGTTTTCGACAAATTTACCTAATCTGCTTTCCCCATAAGCTATTAGCAGCTCTTCTTTCTCCAGGTCCGGGTCTGATATTTTAATCGCGATTTCAACGGTGTCCGAGTGTACTCGCGCATACCACCTACCCTCGCCTTCCCTATTTATTTTCCTGGAGCATTCCCTGCTACTCTCTCCCCCCTTACCGTTCTTGACTGCTATGAGGATATCCCCTTTCCTCGTGTCCCTTATTTCCTGAAAGTTTCCTGCAAATTCCCCTACTACCGTCTTCAACCACTTCACCGCTCCCCAGTATCCTATATCTTCTTTAGGATATTTGATCAAAATGACCTCTTCTCCCCTGTTCCCCCCTTTCCTTCCCTTCCTGGCCCCCTTTCCTTCTTCCCATTCCGTTCCTCCTTTCCTCTGCTTCTTCCCTTCCCTAGTCTCCCTATTTTCGCCTCGATTTCCGTTTTCCCCATCGCCCCCTTGTTTCTCCTCGCTCCGTTTATTTCTAACCTCCTTATCCTTCTCGAAATTCGCCCTCATTTCTTTAATCAGCCGTATGAGCTTCTGTTCCTCCTCCTGTTTTGCTCCCGTCCCTTTCTCCTTTTCCCCTTTGTCTACCGCCTCCGCAGTCTCCATCTTGTTGCCCTTTGTTTCGTCAATTTGTAGTCGCGTGACCTTGACCACCGGCTGTAGTATCTCGACTTGCCTTATCTTCACTTTTCCAAGCTCTTGTTCGCGTCCGTATCTCTCCTCTTCCGTCGCCATCAGAGTGCTGCTCCTTTTCCTGTCCCTTGCCGCGCTTTCCATCTTGTCCCCGCCTTTGTTGCTCCTCCTTCCTCCAGCTTCCTTGATGGCTTCGTCCCTTGGCGTCGGCGTGGAGCAACCGCTTGGGTGTGGCAAGTCCTGTGAACCATTATCTTCCCACCTGAAAACCTGGTCCAACTCACTCATAGACGCCTCAGCTTCTTCCACCGCTTCTGCTGCCTCCATTAGCGTCTGATTTAGCTGATCTTCGTCTTCGTCTCCCCATATCTTTCGCTCCTTCGCCTTTCCCTTGTTTGCTTTATCCTGTTCCTCCTGCCTTGCCCTCTTTTTCCCCTTCCCTTTGGCTCCATTTTGCTTCCTCTCGCTATCTTCCCTCTCCTTTCGAGCCCGCTCGCTGTCCTCGAGTTTTCCGTTGATCTGCTCGCGAATCCTCTCCATCATCTCGGCTACGTCTCTTCCCGGCGTTTTGGATCCTTTGATTTTCGCAAACATTTCCATTTCTGCTGCAAAAGAGGAGAAGAGCCAGAGGGTGTATAACGCGCTAGTGCAAATGTTATCGTGTCATGGTAAAAAGGAGGGGGGAGGGTAAAGGGCAAAACGATGGAGTAGCGTCATCCGAGAGGAAAAACGAGATGAGGGAAAGCAGGATAGCAAGTATGCGTGATGTGTTTTATGGCGTTTTAGTTGATTCAGTTAATTGACTACATTAACTTCATCAATCCACTCAAATCAAGATTTAAATTTGGTAAAAAACTTCCTTCCCCGAAGAGACTAGGATAGATAGCTAGATTTTATAAGCTAAATTGATAAAAAGGAGAAGAAGAAAAACTAACTACGCATAAGTGCAAGTGCAGCCCTAGTCGCGGGCGTAAGCCTGTATATTAATTAGATAAGGTATATAGACTTTATGGGCTTGACTTTGATAGATTCTATAAGTTTAATTTAAACTATGTACTAGCTTGTATAAGTTATATACACTTTAACTTTGATACATTTGTGAGTTTATAAACTTATAAGTTTCCGTAAGCTTCTGTGTTCGTGATTATGGTGTGTAGATGCTCCTACTCTGAGTTAAATCCCCAGTAGAATTTTAAAATTTTGCTTTCGCGGGTTTGAATTTCAGTCCTACTTTGCTTCATCCGTCCTTTTAATAGATTCTACATTACTCTAGCTGTTTGTCTATTCACTGCTTACTTGTCCTATCGCCGCCTTGCCTTATGCGTTTTATTTAATATAGTTTGCTGTTTATATTTTAAGCAGTTATTGCAATGCACTTACCTTCTTCTGTTTAATTTCCTGCTATTTTCACTTAATCTTCTGCTCACTACGTTCACTTCTACTCGCTACGTTCACTTACACTGTCGCTTTCGCACTTCCTACCACCGTCTCTGCTTATCCTCGACTGTCCCTGCGCCTTTTTTAACCTTTCCTTGTAGCCTTGCCTGGTCCTTCCCGCTCCTCTCCCTCCCTTTGCTTCCATCTTCCTCTTACCCTTACCTTATCCTATCTTCCTTTCTTTATTCTGCTTTTCCTACCTTTCCTGCTTCTGCATTTCCTTTCGCCGTTTCCAATCGAAATGGCTATCTAGATTAATGGCGGTGCCGCGTCACATTTTGATACCCTAACACGCTTTGCAGTAATGCCATAGCCTAGTGATATACTAGTATGGTAGTATAGCATTATGCTCCTGCAGTAAAGGTAAATATAAAAAAAATATAAAAAATATAAAAAATATAGAAAATATAAAAATGTAAAAATATGAAGAATATAAAGGAAGAAGAATATGAGGATATATGCGTATATATAACTATATACATATATGTACATATATACACATATACATATATACATATATATATATATACTTGTGTCTTGTATTTCGTTTGTGATCTATCATGCCGTGTTTTATTTGCCTGTTTTGCTAGAGTTATTGTTTAAGCTACGAGTACCGTGCTTGCTGACTCGTTACGGGTGCTATTGCAGTCTTATGTAGTCTGTAGTCTATAGGAGGCTGTGATTTTTGAGCCTAATGACGACTTGATTTGATTTAATGAACTTAGTGAATTAATTTGAGTTACTTTGGGTTAGTTGGGTTAATTTAATTAATCCAATTTAATTTAATTTAATTTAATTTAATTTAATTTAATTTAATTTAATTTAATTTAATTTAATTTAATTTAATTTAATTTAATTTAATTTAATTTAATTTAATTTAATTTAATTTAATTTAATTTAATTTAATTTAATTTAATTTAATTTAATTTAATTTAATTTAATTTAATTTAATTTAATTTAATTTAATTTAATTTAATTTAATTTAATTTAATTTAATTTAATTTAATTTAATTTAATTTAATTTAATTTAATTTAATTTAATTTAATTTAATTTAATTTAATTTAATTTAATTTAATTTAATTGGGGGCTTGAAAATTTAATTTTAAATTTTAAATTTTAAATTTTAAATTTTAAATTTTAAATTTTAAATTTTAAATTGAATTTGGAAATTGGGAATTTTGAGAATTTTGCACATTAGGAATTTGAAAATTTGCGAAAGATTTGTGACTTTGCAATTTATGAGTTTATGAAATTATGGAATTTGAAATTATGGAATTTGTGAGGTAATGGCGCTCAATGTTGAATGTGTTATTGCGCTACTTTTGTTGATTAGGGTTGCTTGTCTTGGCAATAGCTGCCTGCCACCGATGTCATCTCCTGTAGCTTCTTTCCCTGTTTTCCTGCACGCCTTCCTCTATTGCAGGTTTGTAGATCTCCGTTGCAGATTCTTCTCCAGTTTTTCTCCAGATTCTTCTCCGAATTTTGCTTTCGTCTTCTCTGAATTTTACTTCCACATTTGTCTTGAATTCCTGTTTTATTTCCCGCTTATCGCGTTGCTCCCGTGTTCCATCTATTCCGCTTCCTTGTCCACCGCCCCTGACGTGGTTCGGTTGCCTGAACGCCCCTCCTATTGGTTTCTTGGCGGCTCCCGTCTTCGTTGTCCCCCAATCGCATGCTGTCTGCCCTCTCTGCCTTTCCTCATTGGTTGAGTTCTTGTTTGCCCCATGTTCGCTCCTCCCTGCCTTCCTTGTTTGCAATGGCGCCCTGCTAGCCCTGCCTCCTCATGTTTCCTGCCTGCATTCTCGTTTCTTCGCTTTCACCTCGTCGACTTACCTCCTTTCGTCCATTCCCTACCTGCTTTGACCGTCTACAGTGTATAGTATCTGTCGTTTATTCCTTCCGCTTGCTATTGTGTTCCGCTTTCCTTTCTTCTCGATCGGTCCCCTAACGGTTTCCCGTGTTTTGGGTCTATCCAGCCTCGATGTTTACTGTTTTATTGACTACTAAAGCAAGGTTTACCATCTGCGCGCCTGCCGTTCCTTGCTCGTTGATTTCTTATTGTTTCCAGCTTGTAGCTTCTTGCTTGCTGGTCACCTGCTTGCCACATGTTGCATTTATCCTCCTAAGCTATCCTATTTCGTTCGTACGTTAATGCGTTTATACTGCATTCGCACGTTTTAGGGCTTATATATTTATACGTTTATGTTTATATGTTTATATGTTTTTATGCCTTCGCCTGCTTTCTTTACCTAGTCCCTTTGTATCTTCCTTCTCCTGTCGCATTTTACCGTTTGCATTTTACCGTTTGCATTTCTTCCTTGCCGTTTGTCCTTCAGCTCCTTAGCACCCATCTGTTGCAATCCCAGCTTTATCGACTGCAGATAACACTTCATCTCGACGATTTCCGCGATCTGTCACCATAAAGGCCCCTAATCCTCACAGGGTTTTCAGACTTAGCAGGTCATGAGCTTTTGTGGTTTGCGAGACCGCGAGAAGCCGCGAGATCGCAGCATCCACGATCCCACGTAATCGCGCGATCGCATTAAATTTATTTGGTTCAATTTAAATTTCTTTCCTTGCTTGCTGGTCACCTGTTTGCCACATGTTGCATTTATCTTCCTAAGCTATCCTGTTTCGTTCGTACGTTAATGCGTTTATACTGCCTTCGCACGTTTTAGGGCTTATATTTATACGTTTATGTTTATATGTTTATTTGTTTTTATGCCTTCGCCTGCTTTCTTTGCCTAGTCCCTTTGTATCTCCCTTTTCCTGTCGCATTTTACCGTTTGCATTTTCCGTTTGCATTTCTTCCTTTTCTTCCGATTTTCGCCGTTGTATTTTGTCGTTTGTCCTTCGGTTCCTTAGCACCCATCTGTTGCAATCCCAGCTTTATCGCCTGCAGATAGCACTTCATCTCGACGATTTCCGTGATCTGTCACCATAAAGGCCCAAATCCTCTCAAGGTTTTCGAACTTAGCAGGTCATGAGCTTTTGTGGTTTGCGCGACCGCGAGAAGCCGCAGGATCGCAGCATCCGCGCTCCCGCGTAATCGCGCGATATTAAATTTGTTAAATTTATTTGGTTCAGTTTAAATTTCTCTGTACTCAGGGCAGAAATTGCCTCTTTATGCACTTTAATGCCCGTTGCAGTAAAA